AGCAGGGGGGCCGGGTGGGGCAAGAGGGGCTGAGCTTGCAGGCTGTGCGGGAGGGCCTGTATCTGGCCATGGAGGGACGGCTGAGGGTGCGGCGGGGGGGGGCCCTGGGGCTGGCCGGAGGCCCCGGCGGGTGGCTGCGGCCATGGGGGCGGGGGGCAGGGGCTGCTCCCGGGGACACTGGGAAGACAGAGGGGATGAGGAGGGCACTTGGACCTGCAGGGCAGGGTGGGCCGGGGGAGGCAGGGGACCCTGAGACTGTGAAGAGGAGGCTGGCAAGGCCTGGGGCGGGAGGGCGAAGGGCTGCAGGGGGGCCGGGTGGGGCAAGAGGGGCTGAGCTTGCAGGCTGTGCGGGAGGGCCTGTATCTGGCCATGGAGGGACGGCTGAGGGTGCGGCGGGGGGAGGCCCTGGGGCTGGCCGGAGGCCCCGGCGAGTGGCTGCAGCGGCGGGTGAGGAGGGGAAGGCAGCCTGGGCGGATGCAACGAAGGGCCCTGCTGGATGTGCGAATGAGGGAGGCTGGGGGCCAGAGGCTGGCTGGAGGGCTGCGCTCCTGAAGGGGACATGTGCGGGACGACGGCGGAAGAGGGGATGCTGGAGCCGGCTGGCAAGGAGGGCAGCTGTGCTGGGAGGGGCCCCGGAGGCTGAGCCGGGCCGTTGGCGGCCTGGAGAGACGGCTGCTGCTGGGCCGAGGAATCCGAGTCGCTCTCATTATCCTGCGGGCTGGAGATGCTGGGCGAGGTGCTGCGGTTGTCCTGGTCGATGTCTTTGGGGTCGCTGCTGCCCTCGTCGTTCACGCTGCGGCTGTCGGAGCTCTCCCCTTCGCCCTCTGAGGGAGAGTTCGGTCGGCTGATCTCCTGCAGAGGAGGAAGCGGGAGAAGGAGGGGAGGACATGCCAGGAGTTTAGATCCTCCAGAAAGCTGCCATGGAGGCGGAGGGGAGCAACCCCAAGCCAGACGGGCATCTGAGCATCTCACGGCTTCCATCAGATCATGCCACCCCTGGAGGACAAGCCAATCACCCTGGTGCCCTTCGGAAGACCACCGTGGGGCCGGATCTGAAACCCAAGGCCTCCCCTAACTCTGGTTTCAAGATGGGCTTCCACCCACCCACCCAACCTAGCGCCAGCGGCTTCTTCTCCAAGGAACTCACCTGGGTTTTGGTTTTCTTGGCATTGATGCGGTCGGGCTCCTCGCTGTCGGATGCCGCCTTTTCTCGCTGCCTCTTGGAGCTCTTGAGAGGAGAAGAAGCCTCTTCTTTAATCTTCTGCCACGGAAGAGGGGAAAAAAAGCAACGTGGTTTAAAGGGAAGGATCAGGGCCTCCTAAAGGCTTCACACTCGGGGCCTAATAACACAAGGGGATTTCCTGAAGTGGCGGAAGGAACTAGGAGCGGAGAGATGGACGGAGATGGGAGGCTTCAAGTGAAGCACCACCACTGACGGGTTGAGAGGTTGGCTTTCCAACAGGCTTCCCCATTGGAAGGTTGGAGGA